CAAAATATGAAAAATTAACACAAAACTCTTAGATTTTTTTAAAATCTATATTGATAGAATGGGTACCAAAGGGATGTAACATTTTGAGAAAAAAAAAAAATTCTCTCTGAGATGGTCCCAGAAGAGTATTCAAAAATTGATTCACTGTTCTTTTTTCTAATTGTTCTGTACCAAGCCTTTTGTAAATTAAGACTAAAACCATATCCATAATAGAATCTCTTAATCCAAACATTCTATTTATATTTTTCGCCACTATGCATAGCATACATTACCACAAGTCTGCATGCTGCTTTCTGATATTTTGAAACCCTTAAAAAAGTTACTTTATAGCTTCTCAGTTTCTATTGACATTACATTAAGACCTTTAGGAAAAGAGGCCCAAAGGTCTCCAGTTACTTTGTAAATGAAAAGATCTTTATCTTTTTATACTTAGCTAAAATATGAGTATTAACAGTTATATGCCTCGTCTTTCACTCTTATACCACCAATCATTCAACACTGCCATTGTAAGCAATATCTAATACGTAACAATGATTCAGTAAATCTTCCCTTCCATGGGGAAATAAAGAGCCTCCAAGATTCACAAATCTGAATTCAATCTATAGCCAACAGTGATTTTAAATTATTAGCATAAAATAGCTTTTCACTAGAGGAAGTGAACATGCCTTTGCACTCTAGTTCATAGTGAACAGTCTTCCTATAAAATTATCAATATTATTACTATTAGCACTTTTATTGTATATCTTATTAAGGTGTCCAAGTAGTTGAATAGTTGTAGTACTAAACCCCAAGGGGCAGTTCCAGGACCAAACTGGAATAACGTTGGGAAGCCACAACTGCCATTGGTAATGCTATAGCAATATCCTTATCTTAAAATGTTAGGCCTGTTCTACATTACAGCAGAACGTTTACTTAAGATACGCAACTCCTACTGCGTTAATTATGTAGCTGGAGTCAATGTATCTTAAATCACATTTTCGCACTGTCCACACAGATGAAGGTCAATGAGAACACACATTCCCGTCAACTGCCCTTACTCCCCATAAGGAGCAGGAGAACCGGCGCCAACAGGGGCGCCCTCCGAGACTTGCTAAACCGAACCCCAAAAGATCAAACGTAACAATGTTGATCTTCTGCATAGTGTAGACATGGCCTAAGAGCCACATAGTTGCTTATGTTCCCCTTGTCTTAATTAGGAATGTTAGCATGTAGACATTTACATGATTAACCAATAAGCCTGGATTTATCTATTAATCCTAATGACTACACGTGTCCGGTCCCATCTCACCAACCAATTGCTGCCTGTATCAAGGGGGAGGAGGGCAGGTGGGAGCCAGTGATCAGGAGAGCCAGTTTTTAAAATGGCTCTCCATGAGTGCCAGCTCCGTGGAGCAGCCTGCCCTCCTCCTTGCTGCCTCCCACAGAGTCAGCAGCATGCGGAGAGCAGGTACAAGTGTGCTTAAAAGCTGGCTCCCCATGAGCACCGTCTCCCACAGAGCCACCTGACCCCTTATCAGCTGGTGCTTGCCCCCCAGCATGTAAACATGTAACCACAAAAAAAATCCAATGGTTGCACACAAATTAACATCCCTAATCTTAATCCTGTGGTTTATTGTTTTAAGAGACACAAGATAACACAAATAATACAGACCTTATTCATTTATTCTTAGCCTTTGTCCCCCATCCCTCATTTGACCACCACATAATTACTCACATTCCAAACATGTTGTATTGGCCATATTTTAAGTATAGGAAAGTCTGTCTTTTGTCAATTGTGAATTGATAAATACTTTAATTTCGTGTGTGTGAGAGGGAGAGTGTGTGTGTGTGTGTCAGTCAGTATTTGGGATAATAGATTGTTTGGAGATGTGGTTTTCTGATTTGCAGAAATCCTTGTAAGTCTGTTTGGAGCTTCACACATTTATTTTTACTCTCACATCTGATGTGCAGCAATATGGATAGCTAAGGTGTATATTTAAGACGCATACTTTGAGATATATCTATTCAGAAGTGACATTAACACTGGGATATGTGTTCTTATAGCAGTAAAGCTGTGCATTATCACTGCTAACTGCACTGCCTACTGATGTCTTAGGTGGGGGAGTTTCTCAAGAGCCTGCTGTTAAAAATTCTGCCACCAAAGATTAGAATGATGTTGCTGTCCCATATAGAACTGGTACAGTCAAATGAGGGAAATTTTATGGGCACTTCTTGTTAAAATACTGAAAGTATGTCAATGGCGCTGCCAAGACTCTTAGAATTATATATAATGAAAATTGTTTATAGTTCATTCTCCCCTCTGTGTTTGGCTGTACGGTATATCTAATTTCAAAAGTCAATCTAACAAAGAACAGATACTCACACATTTGGGGTCTTGTAACATTTTGCCTACATTTTGTTACTGCTTTCATATTGCATTATTTCATATGTAATATTATTATTACTACTACTATGGAAACATTGAGAGGGCCCAGTCAAGATTAAGGTCATGTTATTCCTATTGTTAGCAATAACATTTAATATTAGGATAATCAGTCTATCTATTTGAATATTGCACATGACTCTAAACATATCTAAATTTTACCCACATAGAAATGCTCACATAGGACAGGTATGGTCTGGGCACTACATGTAATTTATGTTCTGACTTACGGAGGGACAATAAGTGAAATTTATAGTTATGTTTTTCTTGAATGATTTATCTTTATCTATGTGTAGTTTCAAAAAGTTCCCCATTACAAAGCAACATACAAGTATTCCAAAGCTATAAAGAAAAATAAAATCTTAGAATCTTCATTATCCAAACTACTTGGCAAGACTACATATGGTTAGTTAATCTTTAATCAACGGACAAGGAGTCTGTCTGGCAAATCATGAGAAAAGGAGATTCTAAAACTGGGGTTCTATCATATATAAGGATTACTGTATATTTATCTGTCAAGGTATAAATAATAAGATAAACTGCATATTTGAATTTGTCCTTATTTTACTTTATCAACACTAACTTGACACAGATTATACAAACTCATACAAATGATATAATTGAATCTCCATCACCAAAGTATTTTTTACCAAGTCTATGATTCTAAAAAAAATGTACATCAACAGAGAGGAGAATATGAGAATCCCTTCCACTTCAGGTCTTGAAAACTCTAATTAAAATTTAGTATTGCACTTTGCATGTCGGTTCTTACATGAAACTGCTGTCATGGTTAAGGCTTAAGGTTAACTAGGTTAATAGAGTCCAATAAAAAAAGCTCTCTTGTATTACAATCTGCTGTTCATCTTTACCTAGACACTGTACTAAGTTTTAAACCAATAATATATAGCTAGCACCTAGGAACCAGAGCAGGGAAAAAAATCCAAAATAAAATCAGCATCCATTATAATGGACTTGTTCCTGAGCCTAACTTCTTCCCCCCCCCTTAAAAAAAGTCTATGTATTTACTGTTATTTCCTCTAGTTTACTATTCCAGCATCACATAGTCATGTGTTAACAGAGGTGGCTAGAGACCTACTAAACTTCTATGAGAAAAATTCCCTTTGAGATTCATTTTAAAAGCGTTCCTTAAGGCATCCCATTATTATAACATTTTCTAATGAGGATGTTTTAACTTAAAAATCACATCTTAAAATACATTTTTTTAAATTGAATTCTCATTTTTTTGTGTTTTAAAAAAAATTCACACTGCATACTTTTGCAAGAGTTTCAACTTTTTGTGCAATTTGTTTGATTTGTGTGGAGGTTTTCTTTGCCCAGAGTGTAACTTAGTATTTTTATTAACTGTATTACAGTAGCATCTCAAAACTGGTGCCCAGTTTTGCACTGCACTTCCTAGAAACACAAAGAAAGCCTGGCCCAGAGCACTTACAGTCTTTGTATTAAAAGCTATTCATTTCACATGTCCTATGAATTGTGTTTAGGCTCCCTGAGATTCACATTAGACTACTGAGGAACCTGCCTGTCTTCTGAGCACCACCAATCACTTCCTCTAAATCCACAGGTTTGTGAGATCAACTGTGTGCAATGGTGGAAAGCCAAGTTAGGCTGCTAAGCATATAACATGATCAACACACAGTTGCCCTTTTCCTGGACAACTTGTGTACAAGTACCCTGACCAGTGGCATAACTACTATTTCCGTTAGGTCTTTTCTCTGTCTCTCTGCTGAACAGCTACTGCACAGTAATGCTGAGCTCCTGAAGAGGGTGCAATTCACACACCCCACCCTCAAGAGTTCCAGCAGCTCCCCCGGTCTCCCCACTTCCCCCTCTCCCCCCCCATACACACACACCAAATTCTGAATGGTGCTGATCAGCCTCCTTTGAACCTTGGGTTTCTTGCACTGACTTTTGACCTGGGCCCTGTAAATAGTGGAGGCGCTGCTTAGAAATCACTAGGAAAGCGGCAGACCCTGCCCCCACAAGGGCTCCCCATCTCTGCCAACAGCACATGGCAATTGGGAGACCCAGGCGAGAGTGCTGGCAAAGCCGCTGTTCCTTCTAAGCTGCAGCTCCCCAGGCCGAGAGGCCCCCCGTGAGCCACACCCCGAGGCTTTCTGCGCGGGTGCTGGGGAATCTGCACTCCCACGGCTCCCCGGCCACGGTGGGGAACAGGGAGCCATGTTGGGGGCTGCACCCCGGATGGGCAGTAGCAGCTCCCCCCGCCTAGAGGCCGCTGTCAGCGCGGAGAAGCCACGTTCGGGGCAGCCGGGGCGGCCGCCTGCCCCGCGAGATCAGCAGCTCCCCCTGCCACGGCCCGGCTGCAGGTGCTGGGGAGCCATGTTAGGCGCGGAACCGCGCGCGGTCCCGGCTGTGCAGCTGCCGCGCTCTCCGCCTCCCTTCGGGGCGAGCAGCCCTGCCTGGGCCCGTCCCCCTCCGCCCCAGCCGCGGCCTGCCCCGTTCTCCTTCCGGCCTCTCCGCGCTGACCCCTTCCCTGCCGGGCTGGCTCACATCACGCGGCCCCACTGCTCGCCGCCCCCCCGCCCCCGAGGGAACTCACCTCCTCCTCAATCCCGCCTGGAGGCCGGCGGCGGCACTAACGTGCTCGCGTCCCTGCCCCTCCCTCCCCTCAGCACGCAGGAGACTCGGCTTCCCCCCCCCCGCCAGGCTCCTCCAGCCCGGCGGCCTGCCTCCTTCCCCCCCCGTCCCCGCCTTTGCCTCCACGGAGCCGCTGCCCCGCTGCCTCTTTTGCATGAGGGAGACATTTCTGGGTGTCTCGTGGCCACACCCCTGGTCAAAGGCTGCCTCCCTAGAAAACCTGCCCCTTGCAGTTCCACCCCGAGCACTCGTAGCTGCTCCAACCCTAGCTCCTGCTCCCCATGTTACACCCCTACCCTTAAAATCAAAGCCTTCCTCCCTAAGGATCCATCCAGAGCACTTCATACGCAACACACAAGCCGGGCAAATTCAGTCTTTGAGAAAACATCTGCACTTGGTGTCTGGGAATTAGGGCCAACTGTGCCAGGGCTGATTTTGGATGCTGCCTCTGACGTTAAAGTGATCAACTGTGCTGCGTTGAAAGGACACCTTTGATTTGGAGCCTAGTATTCCAGATCGCCTTTGAATGTTGAACATACTCACTCCAGACTTTAGGCTGTGATACTTCACCTGTGATTTAGTACTCTGATTTGTGCGCTGCAAAATTAGATGCGGAGGGAGACTTGCCCCCCCCCGCCCTATTTTTCATACAATTGTTCTTTTATTTCTTTGTAAAGTAGGTGGTAAGCCTAGCTGTAGTACATCCATTCCTTCCAAGTCTGCCAGGATTTCCACTAGAAGTAGAAATATGCCCCCTCAGGAACTTTTCTCCTTCGCATTTGCCAAGTGATTTGCCAGCTCCTCTTGGCCCCTACGGCTACGTCTAGACTGGCATGATTTTCCACAAATGCTTTTAACAGAAAAGTTTTTCCGTTAAAAGCATTTGCGGAAAAGAGCATCTAGATTGGCACTTTTTGCGGAAAAGCGTCCGTGCCAATCTAGATGCGGTTTTGCGCAAGAAAGCCCCGATCGCCATTTTTGCCATCGGGGCTTTTTTACACAAAACAATACCGCGTTGTCTACACTGGCCCTCTCGCGCAAAAGCATTTGAACGGGAGCAGCATAGCATTTCCGCAAGAACACTGACAATCTTACATGAGATCATCAGTGTTCTTGCAGAAATTCAAACGGCCAGTGTAGACAGCTGGCAAGTTTTTCCGCAAAAGCAGTTGCTTTTGCGGAAAAACTTGCCAGTCTAGACACAGCCTAACTGTTTACTTTGTTCATTTCCAACATGCTTTGCAAATGCTGTCCAAAGTATGCAGACTTCACTTTGCAGCAGATTCATGGACAAAGGGAATTTTACTAGGTTTTTAATTCATTGTGCTGGCAGTGATTCTGAAATATTTTGTATTGGTGACCCCTTTCTCTCAGCAAGTCTCTAAGTGAAACCCACCCACAAATTAAAAATGGGGTTATACTTAATTTATCTAAGGCTCAGGCTGTCAGTCCCATGCCAGCTCTCAACCCCAAATAATAGCCTCACAACCTCCAGTTTGAGAACCCCAAGTTTGTCATCTACAAAGCAGACTAGAGCAAAGTGGTGGTACTCATGGGAAAAAACAAAGAGCGAAGCCATAGGGGAGATTTGGTCATGATTAGAGGCACCTGAAGAAATTTGGTAAAGTGGGGTAAAGGGAGAAGAAAGTAATAGATGGAAGAACTAGCAAAAGTGAAGAGAGAAGAGCTACAAATGAAGCAGAGCAAGGAAAGGGGTAAAAAGCAGTGCTTAATTTGTAATGAGAGTTGCTGGGGCTCAAGCAATTTTTTTATTTTCATGAGGCGGCAAGTCTAGAGACTAGGGCTATGACCTTCCAAACCTAGAGGTGCTGAGGATCAGCCCTGGCAAGACCTGACAAATTAAACTCTGGTAAAGAGGATATATAGGACTTTAGAAGAATGAAGATAATGTAAAGAAGGTAGTCAGAATCAGTGTGTGCAAGAAAGTAAATGGAAAAGACAGAAATATGAAGGGAGAAATGATGTGGGAGAAGTAAAGTGTGTGAGAGAAAATCATGAATATTATATTCAAGTATATTTGGAGAGCCGTTCTTTGCTATGGTCAATTATACCTTTCTAGGTACTGTAACTTTTGGGAGATATCAGGTATACATTACATATTGAACAGGGAAAGGCTTTAATGGAGTATTTTGTAAACCACATGCGCTAGCCTCAGAGACTTACAAACACTGCAGACAAAGGTTTTCATAGAAGTAATATTTAACCTTGACTCAATCTTAGCACATTTTTGTCTTGGACTATAGATAGACAGATATGTAGAAACAAAATTAACCATGTTTTGAAAAGGAGGCCCACAAGTAAAATTTCAGGGACCCAATTCTTTTTCTCTGCTGATGCAGGCAAAATGCCTATGGAGTTTAACTGTTTAAGGACTGCTAGCAGTATTTTCTGGAATAACATTTCCCCTTCCCCCTGCCACACACACACATTTGCTATTCTGTGGTTAGGAAACAGTGATGAACAAACTAGTTTGCATAAGAACTAACCCAACCTTCACTCAAGCCAAAACTGAATATTTTCTTAGGTTCAAAAAAGCTTAGCTAATTTGTTTTCAAATTGTTTCTCATTGTTATGTGCTTCTGCACTTCCTGATACCATCCAACAGTGGAAGTGCCAAAATATCACAAGACAGGCAGTTCTTGCTATTTTTTTTTAACCTAAGTGGAAGCAGGAAATACTGAAAATCTTATGAGAATAATAATACTAAATATTTCTATTATATAACTTTTGACAAAATTGGATCTGATCTTGCAGACTTTGGTCATTCATGTGGGGCATACTGAGTACAAATTTGAGGAAGTATCAGTCCCATTACATGTTTTATCCTCTCTATACCTTGGAAAATAGGCAAATAAAGTTGTTTGACCCCAATTTATGAGTGGAGAAATTGAGGCAGAGAAATTAAGGCCAATTTTTTCATTTGTCCACCACTTTTTGAGTGGCCAAAATGCCATTGGCCTAGTTTTCAGATATGCTGAGCCTCTCTACAGCTCCATTAAAGTTAAACTTTGGGTGCTGAAGCATAAATGTTTTGGCCTTAGTCTTCTTCTGGGGTCCTACAATCATAGTGAAATTTTTTAATTGGCTAGTAGTCTGTAGACAGATATTGTTACCGTTCCTTTTGAATATTTTTCTACTTCTCTCATTCATTTGCATACTAATGACATAAAAATAGGCACTTCCTGCCAGTAATTAGTTGGAGCCCAGAATTTAAAGAAAGAAAGAGACCATAGCATTATGGTAGAGGGATGGCACTGAGGAAGCTGCAGAAAAGAGTCACTTCTCTTGTGCTCAGAGAGTGCCTTTAATTTAGAGTTCAGGGTTGGCAACTATTTTACCTCTGTGTGACAGGGATTAACTGTTTGCTTGGTCTAATAACTTTGCCTCTAATGAGCCCTTTAGTTACTTTTTTCACTGCAAATCACTGGATCTGTCCTACATCCAGTCCTGCTGCTGTAAAGGGTTTTTTTTCTTTTCCCCCGAAAGAGCACCATTAATAGTAAACGCTACATAGTCAGCATAGTTCCTTGTCAGGCACAGTGAAGCAGAGCAAGGTAGAGAGTAGTCAAAGGTTTTTGACCTAATGAGGCACTCTGCAACTTGTAATCATAGGAAGTCATCTGAAGCTCTAAGTTCCAGTCACTTAAAATAGATTAGGGGCTATATGGCTTCTGGGATTTGTAATGGGTTATAGAGCTTTTCACATTTAGGTCACAGGCTTGAGTCCAACCCAATGTCCAGAAGTTGTCACCATATGGCAGCTGTTTGGTAGCTTTTATTAAATATATTAATGATCTCAAATTCTTAGTGGATAATTATTCACATAGCAAAAACATCTCAAATCACAACCTTGTTGGTAATGTCTGCAAAGAGGTGAAATGTGGAAGAAACATAGAGACTATACCACCCACTGATGCCTAGAGGTCAGGCTCACTTAGAGGTAGGTAAGGAAGGAAGCTTGCATTGCCACTGACTTTCCCTAAGTTTTCTGTAGATAAATATAGGATTAAAATCTCAAGTGCTGTCAGTCTGGCACCTCACAAGCAGCTCGTTCACTACAGAATTAAACACAGCTCTTTCCGTGGTATTACTCCCAGCAATTTTCTGCTTGTCTGCAATTAGTGTTAGCCATCCAGGATCGGACAACTAGAAATATCTGGTCTCCCGTGATGTGACTTGTAAGCTCATGAGACAAAAATACTGTTAATAATATACCACTAGCATATTTACCTATTTAGCTATCCATAATATAATTACCAGTCCAGCCTCTCTATTAGCTTTCTTAGTGATGCCACTCGCATAGTGGTAGTCTCTTCTCTATCTTTTCACATAGTCTCTTCGCTAACTTTGTAAAATTGCCACAATACCTGAGCACATATTCAATAAACTTAATAATGTTGGCACAAGAGCTTTCCCCTCCACAGGTTATGCCATCTGGAGCCTTCTTATATGGCTATATATTATCAGTGTTATACTTTCTTTCAAAACTCAGTTGGAATCTACCTTTCCTCCCTTTTCTCTACCTTTCATCTCTATCTCATTCTCTCATTGCCATATCTGTTATTCTGTAAAATGTCTATGAAGCACACTACACAAAATACTGCACTGGAGTGTCTTATTCATGAGCTATCTTTAAAAACAAAGCTTGTAAAGCTGGTATCCAAACAATCAGCAGGGCTATACTTTAAGAAAGTATTTTCATGAAAACTTTGAGGGTCTGGTTTATTAAAGCAGATCCTTAAGATGATTGGATCTATTCCATTAGTAGATTTATAAAGTGTACAGACTGGGTAAACAACAGTGACAGCTTGGGGAAGTGTGTGCACCTGTTTATTAAAAAGACGTTAACAAGGGCAAATCTAAAATAAGAACATATACCACAACCCAATTTTCAGCAAATTTTTATGCATGCCTACACTTAAGGTTACCCATGTTATTAGCAAATTCTTTCTCTCCCTCTTTGAGAAGAACACAGCAGCTGATGGGCATGGAGCATCTGTGGCAAAGAAAAAAAACACCATATTCAAATTT